CCATCACTAGCAGGTGAGCTACAACTATAGCCTCTTCATTTAGGAGCGGTGGGGGACATCTCTTGATGATGATGCAGGCCTCCCTCAGTCAGACATGAACCGCCTACCCTCGGGGCAGGAGATGTAGAAGAATTCTTCCTTCCACCCATGAACGGACAAGGGGTTATACACAGGCTTCCCCCTCCGAGGGTAGAAATAATATATGTTAGCATCGGAAGAGTGCTTCCACAGCACGAACATGGCACAGAACATCCTCAACATCAGCTCCACACCCCTAAGTCGAGCCCACACTATCATATCTACAATGGTCCTAAGGGCATTCGGTACGAGTTAACTGATAGTGATACCATACCACTCCAGCAACTCAGAGATTAATGAAGGGAGGGGAAACCTAAGGCCAGACTCGAAAAAATGCTGGTAGATGCAGATTTCCCTCTCCTCGGGGTTCCACGGTCGATCACCCACATCAGGGACCCTCGGGTCATAAGACCGGGGTATGTGGAACCTCCTCGCCAGGGATTTGACCTGGCCCACGTGACGTCCAAGGAGCTGTCAAACTCTGAACGCAGAACACCAACTTCAATTACCCTTCGGCCAGCGCTCCCTCACACCGGTCTGACGACGACTTCCACAACATCCTCCTCGGAGAGAGGAGACCCTTCGGGCTCCCCCGGCGATGCCGATGCAATGCTTTCATGGGGAGAGTTACTCCCCCGATGATTGCCCTCAGCACCCCCGAGGCTAACCGTTCCCTCAATACGACCACCTCCCACCGAAAGGGGGATACGACTAATGAACCTAGAGAAGACAAAGGGGAAGGAGTTGTAGGGGAGATCCCTCCCGAGGTGTCCGAGAGTTCATGGCATTCGGGGCCGGAGTCTAAAAACAACATAGTCGATTACCTAAGCAAGTGAAGACGAAACGTCCTGGAGAATGGAGGAGCTGGGAAAGTCCTAAAGGATTGAGAGCTGGGGAGCTGAGTTCACTCGATAACAAGGGCGTCTAAGTTCAAATGAAGAGGAAAGTCACCACCAGAACCCCTATTTAAAGGTGAATGGATGGCCTGGATCTCATTGAATCTGATGGCTGAGACACCTCCGCTTCTTCCATCCAACTACAATGCGCCACTCGGCGCCCGTCCTCAAAAGGCAAAACAACGCCCAAGCAACAATTCAAATCACCATGGATCCAATGGTCACGGGAACCCTTTGCTTCTGCGAACCAGTTCTACTGCACCTTCTAGCGCATGCCCTTGGAAGACGAAACGACGTTGGGTGGACCGCGAGGCTCTCCCGCCGCAGCCCATTGAGCGAACTGTTGGGCCCGCCCATCGCGAGCCACCGGGCGGACTGCTTAACCCAGTAAACACGTGCTTATCGAAGTGACTGTCTTCCGCACAGTAGGCCCTTGACGCGACCTGACCGTGCGTGATACGGGACACCTCCGCCAAAACGACGCACACAATGAAAATGATGCCATTGTAGGACACTCCTCGGCTGATGAATCCGAATGCATAGTGACAACTACTCCCAACGACCGAAGCCGAAGCCATACCTTGATTGTTACCCTCATTACCAGCCTCGGGAGTGGGGGGCAAATGATGTGGGCTAGCTAGACCCAGCCCATTGCGAGCTGGGAGGCCCAACCCACTAACGTCTAACAACGCCAGCCATAGCAGGGGGAAGCCCTGTTGCCTTCGTACGAGCCAACCATAGGGCGGTCAAACATACCCACCAGGGCTTGTCGCCTGACCTCGTACGACCCTCATCCAGTGCATTCATCTTCACCTACCTCTAGCCCGCTCAAGTATAAATAAGAGGTAACTCTCCCTTAATGGGGGATCCAAAACTTGGGATTCTGACATAGCTCCCTCATTTACTTTCTGCACCTACATTCCTTCCTTATCATTTACTCCTGCGGACCTGGTGCATTCGAGGACTATCACCAAGACCTCGTCTGCACCTCCTCTTACTTTACACCTCGTACTAACATGAGCGTCAGAGCCTCCGCCTCGGGTCTCCACCCAAGGCCTCTGATACTTCTTGCCTTGCAGTACCTCAGATCTCCAGGAACCTCGCTACCGAGGCGACGACCTACAGTCCTCAGCTTCTTCAATCCTCAGAAGGAATACCTTGTCTCGACCTACAGTCTTCGACCTGCCTTCGAAACTTGGAGAACGAATTTACCTCGTTGCCCCGGTTAATCCATGCGGCAACATTTTGTATGTATTTATACTATATATATTTGCATTTGTACTCCTTACAATACAAATACAAATTTAGAGTGTAAAACTTTGTATTTCGTATTATTTTTTATATATTTACATGTACATATTTGTATTTATATTCCTTCCAAACTGAGCCTGATTTTGTTCATAGTAAAGATTAAGGACCAAACCAATACTGGGTGCCCAATGATGGAAAGTAGAGCAATCAAATTCTAAGTTGACCCCACTTGTGAATTGATTCCAAGTTCTTTGAAATTCAGAGAAGATGAATATATTTTTTGTGATTTGGTGGGTGAATCCGTCAAACAAGTAAGATCTTTGAGAAGATATGTGTTAAAAAAGAAAGAGAGAACAGTAGTTTGTGATATGTTTGGGACCTTTCTTCCAATGAAATAATTAAAATATTCATCACCTGTTCATGTGGATGGCAAAATAGTTAAGTTTGATACGATGCATGAATCACATTACAAAAGAGATGTCACAATTAGCATAAAAATTTACTTTTACTTTGGACTTTTTTATAGTCCATTAATGACATTACAAAAGAGATGCCACAGCAAGCATACAAAATTACTTTACTTTAGACTTTTATATAGTCCATGAATCACATTACAAAAGAGATGCCACATTACTTTTACTTTGGACTTTTATATAGTCGAAGATGCAGTGCCCCAATTAAATATCTGCCTAACTCGTATCATTCTTAATTCCTACGTATGCATGTCGGCCACCACCTAGCTTTCCATGATTTTAGCAACGAGGTATCCACCAATTGGCCACGTGTTTAAGGAAATAGATAAGGGCCCATTGGTTAGAAAGACGCCCACTATCAATTTATCTCAAACCATGGAAAACTTAGCTACTAACTACACCACACTTGTGGTGTGGATGAAAACACACTACACCCTAACAGGGTATTTGTTCTATATTATGAACAAAAATATTTGAATCAATCTACACTACACTTCTATGGACGTTATACAAGATATGGTGCATTTTATTCCACACTTTGTATTTGATTTCATACTTTTCAACTACAGCATTTAAGATAACACATGCCATTAATCACTAAAAAACAATATATCATAGACATTCCACGGTTCCCAACACCTCCTTAATTCTTTTTTATATTTTTACACAAGTTTTTTGTTATAATGTATACCCTCCTGACACGCGTGGCTGATTACTGTGCGTAGGATTGGTTGGAGAGGATGAAATTCTGACCCTGATTATGGAATATGTGTGGTAGGTAATGATGTGGGTGCATGGGAAAAGTTGTGGAAGAGATTGGATTGGAGAAGAGTGTAATTAAATAACTATCGTTGAGGTAATGAAAGGCTGAATCCCAAGGCTGTGTTTTGGTTTGAAAGGAAAAGGTAGAAAAAGGAAGGGGCTGAACTACTGAATGATTGAATGGCTTATTGTTTCGTTTCTTTGTGAATAAGCTGGATGACATTGTTTACGTTGATTACTACCTATTTTCATATTATGTTGTTGTATATTAATAAATAAATATTTTTGTTTTATTGACTGGATGACAAAATAATAAGTCATTCAATTCAGCCGGTGAAACCATTTATCAAACAGCAAACAGCCCTTAGAACCTGCCACTCCTCCAAGGCTCCAACCGTAGAGGAAGGTGGAGTGAAGACAAACAGATGAGATGACACACACCCAAACACAACTATGTCGTACCTGAAAACTGACAACTCCACAATGGCCAACTGGCAGATAACTGGTAGTGAGATTAATTTCATTGGTCTAAATGGTCCAGATTAATTTGTGGGATCCCCTATGTATACGTGACACCATGTTTAAAGGGAAATGTGATCATGTGGCTTCATTTAGAGATTAATTTAGTTTTATTCGGAGTATGGCCCATTATGGGGCTTCATTATCACTCAAAACTTTAATTGCATTAAAGATCACTATAACATAGGTATATTCATATTTTAATTATAGTAAACCAATTTTTCATAAAATACACCATATATAAAGTTTTAGCTTTCACCTATTACCATTTCTCTCTCTCTCTCTCCTTGTAACCTGATCCTTGAGTTAATTATTGGATTGAAATTTTTAATCTTAAATCTATATTATTTAACAAGAAAGCACGTGGGTCAAAGGACAACAGGATTTGAAAGCAAGCCAGGGGTCGGAAGCCAAACATTACTAACATTATTTACCAGCTTAGAAGCTTCTTACAGAATTATATATACCGCCCCTACACGTTACCAGTACCAGACCTGATCGATCCAGAACCAGAACAGCTGTGACGACTCTCACTTGGAGAATGAGAGGGACCATTTTACCTCTCGTAAGACCTCCATTGGATTGGCCCATACCCTGATTGATGCACGGGAAACTAACAGTAGCCCACTTTATAATTTCTCAAGTTGATCTCCGAAAACAGAATCTTAAATTGGATTTATGAACCGTGGATTAAATATAATACTCCAATAAACTGGGTTCGATGGAAAATTATGGGCCCTAGACCAGTTCAGTAGGACCTTAGGGAGAGGTTGGGTTAATTTTATTTTCAAAGGTAGATAGATGATAGATGGTGAAGCCTGACCTTCAACAATATTAACATTAACTACCCGTCAAAAACCGGTTACATATTTATTTATCAAGTAACCATGATTATTATCCGCTTCTTATTAATTACCGTCGTCACTAAAAATATTATTACTTGGGGATCCCAACGCAGTTTCTTTGAACATCGATCGATTAGTCTCTTGTGTAATTCAAAATATGATCACCATAACGTCTGTGAAACCAGAAAGTGCTAATCTATCGAAACGCAATTTTTATGAATTGGGACTTACATACATAGAAATGAAAACAACCCACTCTTATTACTTATTACAGGTGATAAAGGGAACATCTGGCCTGGGGCCGATCGATAATCCGTGTCTGGAGTAGTCCCAATTCCCTACTAATTTGAAGTTAGATTTGAATGTTAGTGTGATTCTTGAACGAATTCCTTCTAGCAGTTGCCAGAACTGTCTTATCTGCGACTATGAAGTAGGCGGAACCGGCCACTGCCACCAAAGTAATTCATTCCATCAGCAAATTAACACAGATGATTTACTATCAACAAGAAGAAGAAGAAGAAGAAGAAGAAAGAAGGAGAGAGAACGTTGGTGAACCTGTAGAGATGATGAGAGCTTGAGCAGTAGGGTTGAGGTTAGCTCTAGCCCAAGGCAGCATTCTCACACTAGCTAACTGCAAAGAATAGAATCGAGACGTTAGCGCCTAATGACGCCGATCCCTTCGAACTCTAGAAGCTGTAACTGGCTGAGAAATATATTATAGGACTTACAGTAGGAATTGCAGTAGCAATCGTCGCCACAGCAGCTGCTTTCATCCCAGCCATGACGCCCTCTGTTTACAAACCAAAAACAAGATCAAATTACCCATCTCAGAAAATTAAAACGTACAGAACAAGAAGAAAAAAATGAAGAGAAAAAACTTCCAGGTTTGATGGGTTGCTTCAAACTTTTGAAGAATAGTTTTGTTTATTATGAGATCAAAGTAGGGAATGTGCATGAAACAATGATCTTTTGCATTAGTGGGTCCTCCAGCACAAAAAGGTTTCTGTAAAGTTACTTTTATGATCAAATACGGTATCTAATCCAGGGATAATTTCAGCAATAATTATTAGCTGGTGAGTGCCTGGGTTATCCATTTAGAGCTGCATTGCATTGCAGAATCAGAAGAGAATAGACAAATACCACGAGAGCATCTCTTTGCCAGGGCGAGTTTCTGATCCAGAGATGCCAACCCATTCCTCTCGAGAGGAGACTGAGCTACATTCTTCTCCATCTTTGAGATGATGACACAGAGAGCTAGCTAGGAAAGTTTAAAGAAAGTAGCTAACCGAAGAAATCGGATTAAATGAACAATTCAGAAAGATAATGAGAAGAAGCTTAAAGTTAAAGAGAAGTTCTGATGGAACTCTGGAAACTGCATGAAGAAGGGATTGAGGTTGGATATGATTTATAAGGGAGATTGGTTGGGGAAGTTCAGGGTTGTTGGGAGTAGAGTTTGCTGGTTTTAGTTTCATTCCAACGTCCGAGTCTGTTGTTTTACTTCCATTACTGTTTGGAACGTACATTCTCGGCTCTTTTCCCCATACTACCCCCGTTTTTCTAACGAATTACCTGGGGTAGGCCGTTAGAGGCTTACACAGAGACTGTTCTCATATGTTTTATTGACCATTCTATCCCCGTTCTTTTGGCATTTTGAATTCCCCAGTGAGCAGACTACCATTGTAAATAAGGTGTACAACAGAGGGCGTTGAGTTGTTGACTCGCACGTCGCTATCGTCCAACCCGCTCCTTTTTTTACACCGTACACGAAAACCATAAAACCTACCTTTTTCTTTCATTGGTTTGTTTAAAGGTATCGCCGTCGGTTTGGATAAAGCCACCCGGAAAACCGTGGGTAGCGGTTTAAGGTTCTTTGGATCCAATGAAACTGCAAGAGACCACGTGTTCTACATCCAACGGTTCAAATGGCTTGAGGTTCTGCAACCAAAGACACAGTGCTAATGTCAGATTCAATTTTTGTAGATCTTTTCGTACCGCACTCTTCACTAGTTTGATAGTTTTCTGGCTTTCTGCCATCTTCTTGTTTGGTGCTGCGGATTCTATGCTTGCAGAGTTGCAGTGAATGACGTGGGGCTACGGGATTGGTGCGTCATTCTGTTCACTGATCAGATCATTAATGACCAAGTCCAAGCAAACATGATTTTTTATTAATTGTATAAGCAGTTTTTTTTTTTTTTTCTTGAGAATAAGTAGTTTGAATGAGCAATCAATCTTTTAAATTGAAAAAAAGGGAAACCTCACCGTAAGAATTCTCTTACACTCATCATCACTTTTCACAACATCCAAATCTCATTTTACAATATCCTCTCTTATTCGATTAACGGATGTTGCTGCTAATTTACTATTTTATCCTCTCTTATTCGACCCATTTTACAATATCCTAAAATTAAATTATCCATGCCATTTTTCAACCCAAAGCTCTAATAGTTTGAAAGAAGCTTCTTCCACCGTTTAAGAAAGGGAAAACCATTACCATTTGCCACTACTTCTTCTTCCATCTAATAAAAAGAAAACGATTGCCACTGATTCTTCTACCGTCTGAGAACGTGGAAACAATTGCCGTTGTTTTTTCCACCATTTGAAAAAGGGAAAATCATTGCCGCTGAGACCTCAGGCAGCAGTTGTCTGATCGATGTTTGGGTTTAAATGAAACTAATTAAAGATGGTTTCTGTAGAAGTGTTTGATTAAAGAGATTTAAAGGAACATATGAATCTTAGTTCCTTTGTTTAATACTGTTAGAGATGATGATAAAAGAATTATCTAGGAAATTTAAGTATCTTTTCTAGAAAACTTTTCCTGCTTCATCCACATGGAATGATGATGTGGCCAAACCAATATAAATTTTAGACACTATATATTTGCATATTAGACCCAACTTAATCTTCAGATTTTATAGTTAATTTGCATCTTTAGTGAGAGAGAGAGAGAGAGAAAAGGAGAACCAGGTTATCATTCCAAGTTGTTGTCCAAATGATCTCCTAAACTCTGTGTTTATTCAGTGTTCAAGAACCCAAACCACAATGCAAAGATGAAGGCTATACAAATCGTCACCTACAGATCTCAACTCAAAGGCTTGAAAAAAAATCCAAGTACTCTTCCTATGATCGATTTGCTATGATTGTTACATTTCCCACCACAACATCAAATTCATGTTCATTCCAAAAGGAATCCACTCACTCCTCAGTCCTGGAACATGAAATTTCTCCACCACATTTTTTTCAGAAGAAAGAAATAACAAAAATATTCTAATGGACACCCAGCCAATTAACCTATTCGTTTTAGAATTTAGGCCATGTTTGGGAGTGTTTAAGTTAATAGGTGTTTACTGAGTAAGTGCTTATTCAATAAGCACTTATTTGCATTTGGCACCTAACTTTTTCAAGTGCTTATTTTTTAAAATAAGCAATTATTTTTTTTTATATTGGGTGTTTGGTAGTCTTTTTCTCTAATAAACACTTAAATAAGCATTTGTGACTATTTTGTCCTTCATTTTCTTTCAAATTTTCAAAATATATCTTTTGAAAGAACTTTTATTAAATTAAAATGCTTTCATAAAAGTACTTTTATAAAATTCAACTAGGCATAATTTTAGAAGAAAATAATTGAATAAGTATTTATTGTATAAGCACTTTAAAAAAAAAATGGAAATTTGGGCTTAAAAAATAAGCCCTTATTTTTAAAATAAGCACTTATTTCAGACTTATTTATCAAATATCAATAAGTGCTTAATGGCCCAAATAAAAACTTATTTTGAGTGAGCACTCCCAAACATGGCCTTAGTGGGTGATGGGTGCTCTGAAAATTTTGCTTTTTCTTTGTGTTCATTAGCCGCTTCTCGTTAGGGAACATGTGGTCTTGGAACAAAAAACCACCCCCACGTTCAATGAAAAAATGAGTACCCTAATTAAGAAAAATGGAAAAAATGAAGGTGAAATAACCGGTTAGAGGTTCATTAGACGTTGAGAGTAAGAAGACTCTTTCTTGGACGTTGAGAGCAATGACTCATCCTTGGATGTTGAGAGCAAGAAAGACTCTCATCTCAACAAGCAGAAATCTTATATATGAAAGAAGTTTGGGCGCTTCAGGGTACTTTTGTCAAAAAAATTGTTTAATAAGCTAACTCACTATACAGGGGCAGTTTGGTCATGAAATTTGCATTTTGGTTGACGTGGACAACTTGGGTCAATAAACTTTAAGGCTACGTTTGGTTTGTTGGATGGGGATGAGAAAAATGGAATATTCCTTTTTCTTTCATTTGTTTCGAGGAAAATAGGGGGATGGTATGAGAAAAAGTGGGATGCAAGATCCCAAAATTGTGTAATCAAGGTCGCACCAAAACAGTGCCACCACAATGGAAAAACTCGAGAAAAGTCGAGTTTCTTCATCCTCATCCTCTGCCCCACCTTCACATTCTCCTTCCCTTCTGGTAACCACCGCTGCTAATAATCACTACCACCACCGCTGCTGGATTTGCCCTTCTACCTTCCACCGTCACCACCTTCACTTTCTCCTTCCCTTCTAGTAACCGCCACCACTGCTGCACCACCACTTCTTGTAACCACCACCACCACCGCTACTAGGTTTGCCCTTCTACCTTCTGCCTCCACCACCTTCACTTTCTCCTTCCCTTTTGGTAACCACCACCGCTGCTGGTAATCACCGCCACCACCGCTTTTGGGTTTTCCCTTCTACCTTTTGCCGCCACCACCGCTACTGGTAACCACCTTTGCACGATCCTCACTAAGGCATTCACTAGCGATGAAGGGAAATCAAACAGCGAATTGATCTCTGCAGATTGAACCTCCAAACAATGGAAAGTTAAATTTTTACACTTTCCCATCCCATCCCATCTTTTCCCATCCCACCCAAATCTTCCCACAAACCAAACGAAGCCTAATGGTGCTCTAACGGGTAGTGAGTTTTGGAAAGTAAAAATTGACTGACATGGTGAGTTTTGGATGTTTTGAAAAGTTATGGAAAGTTTAAGGAAATCTGTGAAAAGTCATGGTGATTTTTGGACAATTTCCCTTGAAAAAATATAGAGAGAAAATTAGAATACCAAGGCAACATGAACCCACTCTTACATTCAATCTGGGATAATGTCATTAAATACTTCTATATGATATTCCTAATCAACAGCTAGAATACTGTTAGACAGTGTATGCCCTTAGCTCCAATCAAATTGATGTACTTATTGTCATTTATTGTAAAGGAATAAAGTGCATAATTGATTCATGTTATTTTGGTGTGTTTCTGTGTAATACCCTTAAATTGGACACTTATGATACTCGTGTTAGTTTAAAATCTTCACAGTCGTTAGATAGATCTTGGGAGATTTATCCTGCCAAGGCTGACACTGATGTGCCGCCAAGTGAGTTGGGGTGACTTGTCTCAGCTACCAGGGTGAGACTTAAGGTACATGCAGTGTGGGTTTTCTTGAAACCTTGAACTAGACCAAATTCTAGAATTGCCTTGGACCTTGGAGATAGATGGGCAAAACTGAATTGTTACACCTGACCTCTAGACTCGATTATGGTACTACACTAGGTGTCGGATTGGGTTGTCTTTGATATGTCAATCAATGAGATCCTTAGAAGGGGTCAAAACCTAGGTATGTTGGGGCAATCCGAGAATTCACCTGAGTGGGTGATCATAGTGATAGGATCAACCCCTTTGTCGAACAAAGTGAATGATCGGGGAATGCACTCTCTCTGATGGAAACCTAAACTACCGGTAGTTGATTTCAAACTTATTGAAATTTGTTTTGCAAAATATATTTATATAGAGATATACTTATATATTAGGGTTTCATAAATTGTTTGCAAAAGATTTTAATTCACGGGATCCATGTGAGTAGAGAGTGCAACATTATATCTTGCAGTCGAGGGAGAGGTCCTCTCGTGTTTGGCAGGGTTTGATCATTTTGGGCTGAGGTTAAGTGTAAGACCATTGAGGGTAATGCCTGATGAGCTAATCTTGCATCTACCCACAGTCCTTGGGCCTTCATAAGGTGGCTGGACCCAAGGACCATTTAATGTAAATGTTGGGCCCATTTAGAGCCCATATTAATAAACTCAGGGGTTCATTGTGTTTAGTAGTGAATTCGGCCAGGCCTTGTAATAGAGGCTAGGCTAAAGCCATGTGGCTGATGTGTAGATCAATGCTAGGGTCTCACGCCATACAAAGAGAGCCAAGCTAGCCAGCATTTAAAGGGAAAGTGAGCTATGTGATTAAATGGGCCTAAAGCCCATTTCGAACTGGGCTTAAGTCAGTTAATTAAAAGGGGGCGAAGTCTTATCCATTTAAGAGTCCAGATCTAAATATCAAATTTGGATAAAAAACTCTTTCTTAATTGGATTATGAAGCTGATCCAAAGAA